CTGGCAGGAACTGATTGGCCTGCTCTTTGATCACCTCCCCCTGAGGGTGGAGCTGCCTTACCAGGCCACAGAAGATGACAATGCAGCCAGTCCTGATGAGACCTGATAGGCTAGGGTCAGCTTCAGATTTTAAGCTTCCACAGAAAGTCGATTAGCAGGGTCCCCAAGCTCAGTTCTCCCAGGTGACAGATCTCCTCCGAGAATGCACATGCAGAGTTTCCTTCCCATAAGCTTACATCTTGCTCAAGACCCCTGAATAGATCTCCACCAAGGGATAAAACCTGCGACCGCTGACATCATCGACTCTTCCTTTCAGAAAACGCAGATCAAAACCTCTTGCCAAAAGAAGTTGGCATGCCCATGCCTGTAAAATGTCTGCACCCAGGAGAAGAGGTAGCAAGTCAGCAACCAGCAGCTTAAATCTAAATTTCTCTGATTAACTGAAGGACCTGGCTTTTGGCTTGGGGACAGTTGAAACTGCTTGAGAACAGGACTTGAAGAGTGGAGGGGGAGCATGGACCATTGAGACAGATCTTTTCTGGCAGCTAGCCCCATGTTTCTCCTTGTTTTGAGGTGCTGCTTAGCCCTCAGCTATGGATAGTCATGGTCAAACCATGCCAAGCAGTCAGGCACATGCCCAGCTTCAGACAACAGACTTTGAACTTGTGGACTCATGTAATTATTGCATGGCAACACATGTGTTCTAGAGTCAAAGTACACAATCCCTTTGCCTTCTTTTTTTACCTAGGATCTGAAAACACTTTTTTCAACATGAACACAGATACCGACATACAGAGACAGAGAGAAGAGTGAAGAAAAGGAAAAAGAAAGAGAGAGAAGAAAGGACCGAAGGGAGCAAAAAGAAAGGAAAAAGGAAGGAAGGAAAGAAGGAAGGAAGGAAGGAAGGAAGGAAGGAAGGAAGGAAGGAAGGAGGGAAGGAAGGAGGGAAGGAAGGAAAGAGAAGACTCAGAACTTAGAAAAATCTTTCTATCAGGCCCTACTTTTATAACTGACACTAAGTCACAGGTAGTCTAGGAAATATTCTCATTGGGGTAAATTAATCTTATAATCTCAACATCTGCACAACAAATCCTCCAATCTACTGGTAAGTAGGGTCCCCTGTAACCATTCACTCATCTAGAACTGTGACCCCAAAGGCTAAGTCCTCCCTCTGGGACCTATAAATGTTATCTGTTCAGATTTTTACACATTTAGTCAAATTAAAGTGAGGTCCTCAGTCCTGCCCCTAAGGGCACTGCGGGTGTGGCTGCCATGTCACTGTGCATCAGCTGGCAGCAGGGAGGAGAGAGGCCACGCCTACACTCAGTGTTCTGACCTGTGAACAGCTGAATGACTAAAAAAACAAAACCTGAGACAACCACCAGTCCAGTGTCAGGCAGGCCCCAACAGGCTCCCAGAGAAGGGAGCAAGCCAGAGACTAGGAAAACCCCACTTGGGACCCAGGCCCCAGGCAGGAGTGAGCCTGAGACAGATTAACTCTTGCAAGGGGCCACTCAGGCAGGCAGGGCAAGGAGCAAGCCCAAGATGGCCAACAAATGGTCACCTCGGGGCCAGACAGGAGCTAGCTGACCCCCAGTCTGCAGGCCTGGGGGTGAAGGCAGACCATGCCCAAGATGACCCCTGCCCAGCTCCATAATGCACCAGTGGGGCCTAGCGTTCCTGAGATGGCCCCAGACACTCAGAGACCCCAGACACCACTCAGAAAAGAAAAGGAAGAGAAAGAGAAACATAAGGGTGTGGGCACAATGAAGAGAGGCAGAACTGGAGAGTCGAGGCTGAGGAACAGCCTGATGTGGGTAGCCCGTGATGTCACCAGGAACGATGGCGGGGTCCTGGCCTGTGCTGCCGCAGGGACCACCTCTGGGTCTGTGGCCCTGCAGAAGCAGGGGTGTGTTACCACCAAGGGCCAGGAGACGTCCCTGGTCTAGGCTGCCACCCAGGGACATACTGATGTCTAAGGACTGTGCAGAACTGGCCCCATCCTTCACCTGAAAATCATGGGGGAGTTGGCCCTGAGCTCATGACAGCAGGAGGGCTGATGACCCTGCCCATAGCCAGCTACAGCACTCCCAGCCCTGCACCCTGCCAGGGCGGCAGGTTAGAGCTGGCCCTGGTTGGGGGTAGGAGGCAGGGTGCTGGTGATCCAGCCCCTAGGCACGAGACCCGGAGAGCTGGCAGGCTAACCAGCTCTGATATCTCTCAGATCTAGGGCTTTGAATTGGCTCACCCCAACATTAACTTCTGGAGCGCATGGAGGGGTCACTCCTACAGACCCAAAACTACAGGATCTCATGACACAGGGCAACAACAGCATATTGGAGAGGAGTCCCAGCGAGGGTCCGGTATCAATAGAGGAGCAGAAGTCAGAGGCCTCATGCCAGACCAACGAGTCATTGCAATGAACATTTGCAAGCAAAGAAGTGAACACGAAAGAGCACTGTGGGACACACTACAGCCTCCATAACGAGTTTTCCCCCCTCCCCACTTGGCTGTAAGAGGAGGAAGAGATAAATGGCACTGGAGTGCATGATTTGAAAGTCATAAAGACCCAATAAAAAAAATTCTAAGTCCTTAGGGTAGATCTCATTCAATATGGAAGGTGCCCCTACCAAAAGAGAGAGAGAGACAGAAACAGAGACAGAGAGAGGACAGAGAGGGCAAGCAGTGGTGGCAGGGCCGGAGGTGCTGAAGCCGGAAGCCACGGAGAAGCCAGGACTGCTGACCCAGAGGCCCATACCCAGCTGGCCCTGTTGACACCTTCAGTGGACTTCTGGACTCCAAAACTGGAGAGCTGTGTGTCCCTGTTGTCAAGGCAGACCATTGGTGGCACTTCATCAGCAGCACCCCTAAAAGATGAGTTCTAAAGAAAAGGAGGTCTAGAGCAGACTCTTATTCCTCATAGGGGCTGGCGTACGTGAATAAATCTCACTGATTTAATATTATTGGCAACTATTTGACATTTCCACACCTCCCCTTCACTCTGTCTGGAGGGCTGCCATGGCTAGAGCCTACTGGGCTTCTACTTCCATCTGTGTCCAGCTGCAGCCTGAGAAGTCAGGGCAAGTCGGCACATACTGTTCTAACTCATCCTTGCCGTAGCCTTTCAGAATACGCACTATTTTTCTTGCCTTGTAGATGAAAAGAGAGAGGCAGGAGAAGTGAAGTGAGTACCTGTCCCAGCTCACACAGCTAGTAAGTAGGCGCTCCAGTTTGAGCCAGGCCTGGTGGGCATTCCTTTCCAGGCTCTTAACCATAACGCTTATTGGCTTCACTTCATACCTTGTCCAGCGATGCTTAACCTCCTCAAAAGTTCTTTTCTGCTCATGGAATATCTCTTTGCTTCAAGTTTGGGGGAAGGGGGTTTTGAAGATGATACAACAAACATGTTGTAAAGCACTGTCTCCAACCATGTGACTTCTTGGAAAGTAATAGTAGATAGTCACACTCTTATTCATGTTCATGTGTATTCATTCTCTCCCCTCCTTACAAACACAGACAGTTCGTACAACTTCTTCCTTTCCTCAGCCCTGCCCTGCCTGTCTGTCCTTCTAGTATCATTTTGAGTATTGTTCGTGTGATCTTTCCTCAGTGCCACAGTCTAGCTGGTGACAACAACACATCCTCTTAGCTCCCTGCATTCCTCCTTTGAGGCACTCCTCATAATCAGAATTGAACAATGATCTGAGTAGCAGGATAAACCCACCAATGGGTCTAAGGACCCGTGAACCTAACGTACAAAGAGGTCTAGGCAGCTGCCCACAGACTCAGCCCACTGCTCGAAGATCAAAATCATACCCAGACCAGGCTACATCACCTCAAGGGCAAAGTGTGGTGAGCAGCTGTGAATGCCACGCTTTGCTTTCTGTCTGACTGTCTGTCTGTCTGTCTGTCATCTATCTATCCATGTATTTATCATCTAGGTATCTGTCCATGTATCTATCTTCTTTCTATCTATCGATCACCTATGTATGTATGTATGTATGTATGTATGTATGTATGTATCTATCTATCTATCTATCTATCTATCTATCTATCTATCTATCTAT